GCTATGTTATTTTTCAAAATGGCAATTGTGTTTCTTTGGATATTTTAAAACCGCTTAGAACTAATGTCACTCGAAGGCACCAAAGTAAACAAGTCTAAATATGAAATCATTATAAGCTCAGTTCTCGCTAAATCTTAATTCCTAAAGTAATAGCAAGTCACTTATCACAGCAATCGATATAAACACCTACAAACAAAGCTGGCTTGCCGGAAATTTGCATATAAAAGGAATCGTGGTTTGAAATAAAGATAAACGCACTACACTTTCCAAATCCATCGAAACACTGAAATAAATCAGACATTGATCATCTCAAGGAAAATCGCAGTGTTCAACGCATATTTTTGCAATATCCGTGCGGTTTATCATGTGTGAAGTGACAGGAACTATTGTTTTAATAATTATTATTTGGGTTCGTGCGAAATAATGTGGAACAAAAAGTGGCAGTTACTTTGAAATCTTCGAACGTGAACAATTCAACAACGTGTCGCGCAAAAGAATATTTTTTCTGCTAGTAACACTTATAAATCAACCAAGAAATGCAGCAGTCAATTGCCAGATTTACCCTAGAGGTGAATGCTGCACAAGAGGCCGAGTGCCTGGCTGGGCGACTGGAATATTTTTTCAGTCGCCCAGGACCAAATGTTAGTCACCTGAGGTGACCAGGTGCCACTAGAGCACAGCCTTGATATTACCAAGTTCTACCATACTGGTTATTGCCTCGTAGTTCTTCAAAATTTTTCTGATTAATTGTGACATTTATTCAAGGTGGTGTTTATTGCTAATAATGTCCTGCATTTTTTGTGCAGCATTTTGTTTTAGTAAATATGTTACTTTAATTAATTAATAAGAAAAAGTTTTATTTTGAACAATGAGTGAGGTGTGGGTAATTGATCCTCACAGTTTACCCCTTCTAAGATGGCACATCCACAACATGACTTAGTTATCTGCAATGTACCTTTCGGGATTAATTCACTGCACCTGACAGGTCCAAATGTGAAACATGATTTATGAACTTGCTCCGTTAAGGAGCTCTTTGCAGTTACCTATGGAGCCAGCCAACTAAGTTTAGTGTAAACATGTGTTGGTAGTCTGATCTTTGAGGCTGAGTCACACCACATCTCTACTTTCCAGCTGAGAAAACACAATAATGCTTTTGCAAGTTAGATGTTAAGACCCAACATCATCTGGGAAGGGTTAGAAGGCTCATTAACCCCCTCTTGGCCTAAATAGTTTTAATACTTTTAAACCCTTTGCAAGTTTTTAATGGCAGTTGTGCAGTAAAGATCAGACACCCTCAACGATATTCAAGGCTGAGATATTTGAAAAAATATGATGGAGAGCTTCTTAAACATTTCAACTATATGAACAGCTGTTGGTCAATTTTCACTAATATTAAGTCAATGCTTTTGGTCTCATTAATAGAACCAAGCAAGAAAACTGGCAGGGACAGAAAGTGAAATCTGCCTCTTGTGTGGTCAGCTTAAAAGCATAGCAATTCAGCATGAGGTGAGACTTAATGTAACTTTCTAGAACTCAACTTAGTCTAGTGGTTTTTTTTTTTTACTCTCACACAAAGTCCAATAATTATGTTGCCATTATTCCCTTTCAACATTTATTCAAGACATTTGGTTTTCCCAACCAGTGAGGCCAGGTAGTATATTTCATGTGATCTCTCACAGGTGGTCACATCTTTGCCAGTCATGGATGGGTAGTGTACTGTATTTATCAGGATGAGGGCTGACCCAGAGTAATCACCTTCCTTAAATGAGGGAAAGGGTGTAGCAAGTCATTTTTGGCTTGTAAGCCTGTTCTACACCTCATAAGTATAGTGGGACCTAGGAAGGTAGGGGAAGTCAAGTATTTCTGAGAAAAGTTTGTAAGCCCAGGCTTACTGGCTTAAAGGGAGCTATGTGCCTGGAGGGGAACATTTGGAACTGCAAAAGTTAGTTAATAAGTTTCCAGTAGGTGCCATGACCACTGTGCTAAGCTGATTCCAAGAATTCTTTCATTAGCTGCAATGCTTCATATATGTCATGCATTTTAGATGTCTAGAGGGATCAAGGAGCAAATTTCTTAGAATGTAACAGTGGTAGGAGAGGGGTAACCCCCTGCTAGACCAGGATTAAGAATGGGTCAGTATCTACAGTGGCGGATCCAGGGGGAGGGTCTGGGGGGTCCGGACCCCCCCTATCAAACCTGACTCTTACAACTTTGAGACAGGATCATACATCACTTTTAACAGGCTGCTTTTTTTAATGAATCCAAATAAACGGTAAGCGGCCAAGGAATTATAACGTGCAATCGCAACTGGTGGGAGGGGATGTGAGGGAGAAGCAATTTGCCTCAAAGAGTCCAACAATCCTTTCTGAACCAAAGTTTGGACCCCCCCAATCAAAAATGCCTAGATCCGCCTCTGATCTACTCACTGACTCTTGTCTGTTGTAAAAGATAATTCCTCATCTCAATTACTACATACCTAGGGACTGCAAGAGGAGATAGATTGTTTAACCATAGAAAAGAAGACCCTTGAGTTGTTTAAATCAGAGAGCTTAAAAAATCATGAAGCATTTCGGATAAGGTTGGTATATTACACATAACCAAATGGTCATTTAACAAAATAGGTCTACTCAATATTTCAAGTGTGCAAAGCCATTCAATTTTGTTGTACAAGCCAACAAACTTTCTTTGCTGTAATTTTTTTTCAAAAGAAATGGAAAGAAATCACAAGCAGAGTTTTGGGAAGTTGTTCTATTTTGGTTGCTTTATCAAACAGTATGTGTACAGAATGAATAAACCCAGTCTGTACTCAAGCCTGTTGGCCCTCTCAGCCAGAGCTTATCCCAGGTTTCCCTAGCATTAAGCACTAGGAGTATTACCTCTCCCCCCCCTGGATGGGATGCTAGTCCATTGCAAGGTTGCCCCCAGCATTTAATTCAGGCTTTACTGACAATTCGCCAGTACTCATTTACACTCCTGGGTGGAGAAAAACACTGTGAGAGTCACACTGATGCAGCCAGGTCTCAACCTGAACTTCTTGACTTGGAGTCGAGTACATTGACCATTAAGCCACTTTGTTTCATTGAAACATTGAAACAGAGTATACTTTGAATCCTTACAAATTATTTTAGCTGTAAAACTATAGACAACCTATCTACCTACCTAGCTTTTGATAAGAAGGATTTGGTGGTGGTAATTCAAATAATGACAAAATTAATATTTTTTGTTATTCTTGTGTACCACCCTAGAGTGACTGATTTAGAGAAAGAGTTGAAAGTATTGACTACAACTCACAAAAACTTGGAAGATGAGGCTAAAAGAAAGGGAACTGGTTTAGAGAAAGCAACCAGCTATATTGTCACCCTACAGGAAGAAAATGACAAACTCCAAACGGTACAATGTCTTTCTCCTCTGTTTAACAGCTTGTGCATCTATCTCTCTGTCTGTGTCTGTCTGTTAATTGACATTTAGTTACTGCAACATTTTTAACATAATATAGTAATGTTTAAAAGTTTGTGCTGTGATGAGGGCTCTCATATGAGTAATAACTACTAACAGTAACTTTGACTTGCAATTTGTTAGGCTGCTAAGGGGAGGTGGTTTGAGCACTGAGGAACACATTCTATGCTGTATTTGTTTCAAGTAGCTACAGTATAATCTCATTCATAAGGTGAATTTAAAGTGCACTCAACATATACAGTAGTCATAAGCACATGTAATAAATTATGTTTTAAATAAGTTAACTGCAAGAATTATGTGATTTACTTTTTTCAGGATTATAAACAACTTTTAGAAGAACATGCAAACATTAAACTTCAGTTGTCGGAAAGAATTAAAAACACTAAAGAGGCAAAGAACAAACACCATCAACTAAAACAGGAAATTATGCAGCTGAGAATGGTAAATAAATTTGGTGTTTTTTTTGTTTGGTTGGTTTTGCTGTAATGTTGACTTGGTCCAACAAGACATGCGAGTCAAAAAACCAAACTTTTAAAATTAGGCAATTTAGGTAATATTCTAACATGTTAAAAGACCAAGTGTAACAATGTGTGTGCCTGAATTTGCAAACACACATCTGTTCAATATTTTGTTTAAAGGCTGGCATCATCTACCTTCAAGCATAATTATGTTCACAATAAGGTGTTAGTGGCTGAAATTAATGCTTCTTCACCCCTCCAGTCAACACCCCACTCCTATCAGTGATGAGTGTTTTTCAGTATGTTTTCATACCATAATAAATATGCCAGTGGACATGTTTTAAGTTTTTTAAAGCTACTAAATTAAAAGACTTTTACATGTGAAATGTCAAATGGCAAAAATGGTGTCACTTCGAGTTTGTGTTTTGACAAATAAATACACTCTCTGCAGGTTAATTGGGCTAGAATTCTGAAATTCTCAAGGCTTTAATCACTCATTTCAGTCTTTAGCCCTTATACATTTAATAATCACTTAATTTAATGTTTGAATCTCGCATTACTAAAATGTATTCATGTATATGCTATTTAAACGAAAGGCACTTAAAATTTGGAAAAGTGGGTATTCTTAACTTGATTAAATTTTGTATTACCAAAATGCATTTATGTAATACTAATAACAATTGTACTCTTTAAGGAAAGGGACTTACAATGTGGAAAAGTGAGTATTCTTGAGGAGAAGATCTTGAATCAACAGCAAAACCATAACAACATGATGAAGGAACAGGACAGACTGATGAAGGATAAAGCCGAGCAGGACCAGAAAATTCAGAGAGAAATTCATGATAGACTCTGCTTGAAAATGGTAAAGGGTTAAACTGCTTTTAGTATAGGTAATCACATGACTTTGAGGGCAATTTTAGATAAATTAGCACTAGTACATTTTTTGGTTACACAGGGAAAAAAAGCAAGCCCGCTAAATTGCCCAATCATAGCTTACATACTAATTAAGAGATATAATTTATTATAAGCTTATTTAATATTTGTTTGGTTGTTTATTTGTATTTTTAAAGACATGCACTTCCAAAAAAATTTGGTCAGACACTTATGGCCTTTTTCATTTTGGGCTTTAGGTCAATGATCTTCTAAAAGAGGAGTCAGCAATTGTGAAAGATGCATTTCAGAAACTTGAAGAGTTTGTCAACTCTTTGGAGCAGAGCTCAAAAAGTATGAGTTATGAACTGGAGCAATGTAAACAGGAAAACCTTAAAAGTAGTGCAGGAAAGGTAATGTTGGAGAAGGCAATATTATGAAAGGAAAATTTACTAGTTTTTGAAATAAGTAGTTGATGTGCAATTTAGTTAAGTGTTGATAATTTCAACTCCTTGGGTACAGTGTTGTCAGGTGGTGGTTCCTCCTCAAAGAAGACAATTTCAAGCCCCAGAGCTTTGGTAAATAATGTTATAAAATTTTCTTTTCAAGCCAATCCCAAATGGTAACCAGGTCACTGTATGGGTCTTTATAGTTAAGTCTGAAAATACCAAATTACTTGCAGATAAGATTAATGACTTTTTTTTAAGTCTCACAGAACATTTTACACCTTTGACCCGTGATTCTCCCCCAAGCTTGGTACATGAGGAACTTTTTGTCTCCAATGAGGAAGGGTTTCAATCCCTGTCCTCGCTTAATGTGGCGAAAGCTGTAGGACGCGACAACATCCCATATAAATTGCTTGAGGACTTCGCACACGAACTAGCCCCTGTCATTCAAAACATCTATAACCAGTCTCTTAAGGAGGGATACATCCCATCACTTCTAAAATCTTCCATCGTCACCCCAATCCCAAAGGTAAACCCACCAAGAGAAATAAAGAGCGATCTCCGCCCGATATCGCTCACGTGTACCCTGGCAAAAGTCATGGAGGGATTCACATGCAATAAACTACTGCCACAGTTACATGGAAAAATCGACCCTCGACAGTTTGCGTGTAGAAGCCACTCGACAACAGATGCTCTTCTATTCGTGTTACAAGCCATTTACAAGGCAGTAGATTGTACTGATCTAGGAGCTCTGGTCTTCTTTGCTGACTTCTTGAAAGGCTTTGATCTAATTGACCTCAACATTTTAAGAGAAGCCGCCAGAATATTTCGAGAATCGAAAATCAGCGACGAAAAATTTAATTTTTTTTTATTTTGCCAAAACATCCCTTTCTGTGAACTAGTTTCGAAAAAATATTTTAAAGTTCCAGCAATTTTTTTTCTGGCTGAAAATTTAAAAAGTTTAAAATTTGTTAAAGCCGTTTTCGCCTTGCCTAAACGGTCAAATTGTCACGCAACTTTAGGAAGATGTTGGCAGCGCTAAGAATGTCTATTCACCATCAAACTTTGCACAATAATTACAATATCACTGCAAAATTAAAGAATATAATAAATTTTCTGTAGTTCTCTTTGGTATGATTTTTCTCGCCGTTTTTGTAGAGGTGTATTTTGCACGATGTTTTGGGAGACAAAATGAAGACTAACTTTGAACGACACCTGGTACCTTAAATTTCAACATTATAACCATACCAGACGAAAGCTCATTTATCAAAATACACATCTGGAAAGTTTGGCCTTTGGAAGTTAAGTCTTGTCTCGGCATTTAAATAAAACGTGATGCCCCCCAGGCGCCATGTGAGTGTGGAGAATTCGATGTTTATTTCAAGCTAATTATAGAGTCAGTTTTTCGAAAATACGCAGAAAAGAAAATTGCTATTGAAAGTAGTCAGCATCCTTATGTTTCTTCTGTGAAGCTGTGAATGTTAAGTAAAGTCACTTTTAATCTTTCTTAATCACGCTTTAAGTGCCATCATGAAGTGGTTTACAAACTTAAAGTGGTTTACAAACTTAAAAACATCCTGAAACATTTGTTGACAAAAACATCGCTTCTTATACTTGCAGAAATGATCTCTTGATTTTATACTACATATCCAGAAATACATTTCAACATATTCTTAAAACTTAAACTTAGTAAAAGAGAGGTATGCTAGGTTTGGTGACATATACAACTACCGAAAATGTAGATAACATTTGAAAATTCTCTTAAGTTCATCCTTCGCGTGACCATTTTATGTACGTGACCTAACCCCTGACCCAAATTTGGGTAACCAATAAATTTGACCGCTTAGGGTTAAGGCTTTTTCAGCTTTTTGCTCACCTCTTCAATCTCTTATTAAAAATGTTTGGTGCCACACTGAAAATCTGCAAGGGAAGTGCACTGGAAATGCAACTGAGAATTTCCCTGGGAAAAGCAATTTGAGATGGGCTGCAAGTGGTCAAATTTAACAGCTGTCAAAACACAGTTGCATATAGTTTTAGAAAAGCAAACTTAAACATAACCAAACGTGCAAATGACTGGCACCTTACGGCACTGTAAAAGCAAGTAAATACCTGTTTTAGTGTAATAAAGTATGTGGCCTTGGTCGACACCATGCAACATGTACAGCTCTGATGGCCATGAGATTACATCAAATTTATCAATGATATCTGTCTGAATGTCACGGTAAATCATGATTTTCTCTCGATACAACAGCATGCGTACTCCTCAACAAGAAGTAGCTGGACTCTATTGTGACCGCTTACACTTAACATCTAATTACAGCTGACAATAAAAAATCTTCGAATTCCAAAGAGGGAGCATCAAACTACTGCGAAATCACAATATGTATTTGAGTTCTACATATGCACTTGTGTAACGAATGTGCAATGCGTGAGAAACTTCCTGGTAACGTACAAAGTGTATCTTACATGCATGTGACGGTTCAATAATTATTTCAGCTCGCTGCTTACCTGTCGATCGTGACGCTGTTTTAACGTGACCATTTTTCCACCTCCCGGGAGGGTTAAGTCAACTAACAGGTAATAATCGCAGTATAATAACCTAAGCGAGGGGAAACTTGTTTGGGTCTCAAACACGTCTACTGAGAACTAAATCTCACGCCAATAACAAAAGGACTATTAGAACAGTTATGGGGAAAATTTTCAAATCGCACAATTGTGTTCATTTTGTCCATTACTCGCTTTTTTAGAGTTATATTCAGTTATCCATTTACTCCATGTGCTACATGTCTTTTTAATTCTTATCTCACGTATATTTTGTGTTTTTTGTTCAATTACCCTCTTGTTACCCTAATTAAATTAAATGAGCCAAAACAGAAACTCCTAAACCATGTAAAATGCTAAAGTTGCTGAATAAAATTTACTTATCTTAATAAAATTTTATCGATTAGGCGATCTGTTCAGCCATTACAGCCCTAGGTATTAAAAACAAGCAAACGAGCTGAGATAACCGATCAGAACTGATTAAGATCAGTTACTAGCGGATCTGGCATGTGCACGGGAAAAGAGCTTCACCAAGCACGGCAAGGTACGGTGCTTTTCGTCGAAAGGCAGGTACAGGAATATTCAGCTCCAAGTTCTGGCAAATACTCTGCAGCATGCCAAGCTTTAGCTTCTTCAACGTGTCGTTCTTCACTATGGTACAGATATCGAACTGA